GCCAGAGACGATAATGCCAAGGAAAAAAACCCTTTGAGACAATGAGACAAGGAGACAAGGAAGAAACCTCGAGAGGAACCAGACTCAAAAGGGAACTCTGAGTCATTACTCTCGCACAGTTGTATACTATAAAGACAAGCAGTGTCAAACAAGTGTGTTGAAAGGATGTTCAGTATGAGCATACTGTAAAGAGTCCCTAGGATGAGCACAGGACAGTGTTTATGACTAATCTACAATATCCAGGTGAGATTATCTACTGAAGCAAGGGTGAGTATTGGGCATAAATTCTGTGGTAGCAAGGGTGTGGTGAACCACTGGCTGAAAATGGAAGGAGGAGTTGCAGAGAATGAGTGGGTAATGAATGGGTGTCTACACCTGTGTGTGAAAAAACAATGAGCTTGCGGAGAGGGGCTTTTCGAATCCTGTGAGTGAGAGCCAATGCCATGAGAGCTGACAGTGGCCTTGACCAAGTGAAGACACATAACAACAGAAACGTTGAGAGACAGAGAGAGAGAGAGAGAGAGAGAGAGAGAGAGATTTTCTCTCACTGCAAAAGACTTTTTCTCTCACTGCATACTAGGGTATTCTGAACTCTTTTTGGGAAGACCAAATATTTAGGGTATCCATATGGGACCATTCACAACAGCACAAAATGGGTCTACACTACAACCACTACAATCCCTCCCAGCCCTGCTTTGTGTTCTGCACTACATTATTGGACTTCATTGCAGCAGTGCTATACCTCACAGCTGGAGAAACACGCCACACCACTTCAATGCTTTTATTCCCCTTTATAGAAACTGGAACCAAAAGCTCTAAAGAGATGAGAGCTCAGGCAATATGCAACTGTAAAGTATTTACCAAAAAGAAGCACTAAAAGAAACTCTCTTTGCAAGAAAGGTTTTTGATAAAAGCAAGCCGTCTTCAGAGACAGAATCACATAATGAGAGCTCATAATCCAAAATAATGCATAATGTATCCACAGTGCTGCCACTATTACTGCACAAGTGAACTGTAAAGAGCTGTTCCTTTCCAAAATGTCTGTCACTGGTATGCAATGGTTTTAAATTATTTGCATGAAACAATATTCAGGCAAAATGAGTAGGAACAGTTGTTGCTTAAATGAGGTCGGGATATTTTTTAAACATTTTTAAATGACCTTTTTACATTGGACCTTTGTAACACATTCATTAACAGTGCATAAATCATTTATAAGGTTCTATTGTTTATAATCTTACAATTTATTAGTTTGTTTTTACTAATCACACATCAGTGAATGAATTATGAATCTATGAAGTATCCATTCCATTATTATTTATCTAGTTTACTTGGCTTGAAGTCATTCGAGAAGCCATCATTTTCAATTTAATTTCTTTTGCATAGCATATTTAACTATAGACCTTGTCACAAAGCAGCTTTATAGAGATCCGGATGCAGTTTATAATAATGCAAAATTGATAACACTTCAGTAATCAATTGAAATATGGTAAGTGAAAATAAGGGTAAATAAGTGAAGATATATTGAAATGGTGCTTCATTATAGTTTTTAACGCAAATGACCCACTACTACTTGACTTAAGGTGCATCTAATTCTGTCCCACTATATGAAGTACATACAGTAACTACACCTAAGTAAATGTAAGATAAGTGGATACGTCATTCAATTTTATGTTTCACAAAGTGTCAGAGAAGACAAAGTAACAGCCTCAAAGAACCATTCAGCCACTGCTCAACAACCAACAACCTTCTCTTTTCTCTCATTGCTCTCTTTCAATGTCAGTGTCACCCACCACTTTTTGACATAAGCCTGATATAAAGCATTACATCATGAAAGAATTATGGAATGCTTATGAATGTGGTATGAAGGACCAATGTAGATGACCTTCAAATGAAGTGTTACCAACACATTTCAGTATTTGAGCTAGTATTAATTGTACAGTATTTATATAATAGTAGTTCAACAGTCATTCAAACAGTCTTGGTGAAAAGCTAAAAGGTTTACTGCTTGGCATGAAAATAACCTGTAATACTGAACAAAAGAACTGATTTGAAGTGTCCTTGTGTTTGTAAGAAAAAAAAAAGTGTAAAATAAAACTATAGGCTATTTAACCTTGCCAAATGAAGTACCTATTATTGATATGCCTATTTTTCCCTGTTCTATGTTGATTGCTTTCTTCTGCGTGAAGAAGAACTAAACAATGCTACAACTAAATCTTCTTCTGATTATATATTCATAAATAATTACCTAATTGTTTTTTTTTTTACTTTGGTAATTGCTTAAGATTACTAAATTACTAAAGCTTCTACATCTATGTGGTGCACTGTAGGGTGGCTTTTCATTGCTTTGTTCAGTTAAACTATTTGGATGCTGTATAAAAGAAGCACATTATAATAGCATTGGATATCACATCATTTTCTGAATGTAGTTACCTAATACAGGCTAATTTAAATAACATTTGAAGACAGTTGGTGTTACTAGTGAGCAATAGTTTAAATGACTTCCATTCAATGTAATACTCTAATGCCAAATTAGTTTTAAAAAGACTTTTATATATATATATATATATATATATATATATATATATATATATATAAATATATATACACACTCAGTACTGTGCAAAAGTCTTTAGACACCATATTTTTTTTTAGCACAAACTTTGTTATAGATTTTTATTTTATGACTTCTACATTATTGATTCAGTACATTTTAGATTTCCAAACAGTAGTTTTCCAGCACAAAATTAAATGTTAGAAAAATGTTTGTATGTCAGTAAAGAAAGCAGCAGATTACATAAGAGGCCACGTTTCAGACAAAAAAACATAATGAAGGCTGCTGGGTTTCGCTGCAAAGATAAGAAGCGAGTGTGACAGTCAAAGTCTCCAGAAGAGCTGTGGCTGCTTCTGCAAGATGCTCAGTAACACTTACAGCTCATTTCCTTATAAAACTGCACACACCGTACCTGAGACTACTAATTTTTTAAAGCGAAGGATTGTCATAGCAAATATTGACTTTGTTTCATTTATTACTGTTTACTGCTCTTTATGGTATGTTTTTAAATGTAGAAACATTTACTTTCATTATTTTTGAAGGCATCTTTGCTCTACAGCATTTTTTTGTATGTGCCTAAGACTTTTCCACAGTACTGTGTATATATATATATATATATATATATATATATATATATATATATATATATATAAAACAAAACCATTTTTGATCAAAGATCCATTGTTTTTAAGAATAAAGCATGACTGCACTCTTACTAGTGAGCCACAGTGAAGTCTTACCACAATAAATGTTTAGGAAGTTTAGTTTAAGTATGTAATTTCAATTTATGTATCATAAAAAGAAGTCATTTGGCAGATGTTCTTATACAAAGCGACTTATAACTGTGAGTAACTGCTGCTGTACAAGCAACATGGTGGCCATTTAGATTTATTGATTTATTGAAAATGTGTTTGCCAGCTTAGACAATTAGTGAATTAATAATACAATGCTGCAGCCTTAAAACCCTGAAGGGACCTCAGATAAGAGATCATCATCATTGCATAAAACAGCAAGGCATTGTGCTTAAAAAAAAACCAAAAAAAAAAACAGTATTTCAGTCGATTTCAGTGGATAGTTTTGCTCCTCACCTCTACAATCATTCTTCTGCTCCAGCTCAAACTGAATCCCACGGTAGAGCTCTCTAGAGATGAGGCCGTAGGCAATGATCATTACCACACCTGGGATGAAGAATAGAATAAAAAGCAGCAAGACGTACCTGAGAGAAAGATAAAAAAAAGAAAACAGATTAATAAGCAAAATGAAAGAGAACTGAATCAATAAAGACTTTTAAAGGTAACTATGATCCCGTACAGAGGAGACCCACTAAAGCAATTATCAGATACAGTGCTGGTGTCAGCTCAGTTAGTGATATGTGGCCTTACTGATTACTAAGAGCTTTAAAGAGTTATTGAATTAGTGTAATCCTCCACCTCCAGGCACTGACTCAAGCATCAGAAAAACAACAACAACAAAAAACAATAAATGCTAAAGAGTACTGGCAATATTGGGAGCAATCTACAAGACAGTTACCAATAAGCATCTGTCTTAACATCTGGTAGATCTACACTGAATCATGGTTTGCATCTAAAAAAGACACAAAGCGTGTTAGTGTTATTATTTCATTGTGGTATTCAAATGACATTGTGGGAGGGCTGCGTGAATGCATCTCCGCTGGTCCTTTGCGCTCATCTTTTTCATCTCTCTGACGTCTTTGTGCATTCATTTGATCTCAAACACACTTGTCTTTCTGTTCCATACGTGGCTTTCAAATTCATCACCAGGGCACGAGCAATCAAAGCAAAACTGTCTCAAAAGGGCTTCAGGAAGTGGATTGATGAAGGCACTGGAAAACGATCGCCGATGATCCGGAAGCTTCTCTTGGTTTATTTTAGTAACATTCAATGCGATCTCTAAGCCTTGTCTTTAGGCATCAGAGCTCTTGGGCTTTTTAAATTCATTTATCATTATTCATAATCGCTGCGGTGTCTTTAAAACACTCTCGACTGGCAAGGTGAGTTCAGGGCCCATGTCCAGGGGTAATGAATGGCTCAAAGTGCTGATTTGAGATGGGTCAAATACAAGCCCGAGAACATCATCAAACAAAACTAATGATGCCCTCCATGGCCAAGGCCATTATTTGAGAGAAATATTCTTGTGCTTGAACCTTAAAATATCTCCTCAGAATAACAATAATAATACTATCAGGTAATTATTCACCCTGTAAAACGGTCAGCGTTCACAGTTTACTGTCCATCATCTTTAGAGACAGCAGTCTAAGGTCCTTCTCCTCTGCATGGCCACTAATTACCAATCCATTCAACACTTAAAAGTCTATTTAACCTCCTGTTCTACTTCACACAGAAAGCCTGAGGGAGGCAATAAAACCTTGATAATGCCCTCAAATATGGTTTAATTACTCTGAGTTTCCATATTATTCTTGTTCAGCAAGTCCCTGGTGGTCTAGCGGCTAAAGATCCTACGCTGTCACCACCGAGAACTGGGTTCAATTCACGGGCAGGGAACCAGCCCAGCCACTGGGAGTGTACTCTCAGTGCCAGTCCCAAGCCCAGATTAAATGGGAGGGTTGCATGAAGATGGGCATCCAGCATAAAACCTGTGCCTTATCAACATGTGAACCAATGATCCGCTGTGGCGACCCCTAACGGGAGCAGCCGAAAGAACAATAACATCTTTGTTCACTAAGGAACACCAAGGTATCTCTATGATTGGGGCACCGTTTAGCCCTTGATTTTTTTTCTTTATGGTTTTCCATAACTGAATCTAAGAAAACATGAATTTAGTCATGTTAGAACCCATCTCTGGTCAGAATATCTCATTTTAAAAAATGGCAGCAATATTTTTTTCTTTAAGAGAATATGCTAATGTGCTTAGAGAAATGCACAAGAATTGGCAATTACATAAAATGTCATTAATTAGCATCCATAAGAACTATTAAGGACTTTCTAATCATTTACCTAACTTCTTTTTTTTTTTAAATAATTTTCTTTCAATCTATAATTTGGGTAACAGGGTTGCAAGTGATGTAATCAGTCAATATCACAATATCATTGAAAATAAAGTAAAATAATAAGAGAACATACTTCTGTGAATTCAGATGAATATTCCAAACATTTCATAGCAGTGAATGTGCTCAGGCAACAGCTTTCATCAAATGATTGTAGGGTACTAAAATGTACATTTTTCATAACTGTAATGGATGACTCATGGAAAAGGCTGTTACAAGCATGAGATGTTAAATTGAATCACGCAGTAATGCAAAAGGAATATGAATTTTGAAGTATTTTAGTGATCAGTTGACTAAATCAGGTGATTTAGTTTTTCCAAATGTGGTGATAATGGGCTTGGGTGGAAAAAGTGCTGTAAATGGGTTTTTAATAATGGTTTAAGGTATTTATCTGAAACATGCACATAGGTTGTTGTGGAGGACAAATTACCTGTGTTGAAAATGTCTTTTATCTATACGCGGTGAGACACTAATGGCACCCCAATGAATCAGTGAATTGGAGAATCACTATAACAACTCTTAGTTTTTAATATTGTTTTCCAACCAGTGAATTTAGCATAAAAAACATTATCTGCTCTGTTTCACAGTGCACTTGAAGTAAATATGGAAATAATGATAAATGACTGGACTACCTTACTATACTGCGAATATTTATTGTGATAAATGATTACAATCCTGCAATCCAGTCTCATAACAAGTGCAATCCACTGAGAAGTAAACAAAGAGTTACAGAAAATCTACTCTGTTAAGGAGAATATGGAGGTTAATAAGAGACTGGAAAGAGGGGAGCTGTAGTACCGAGCTTATAGTATAGGTAATGCCCAGTGAGTAAATTGGAGCAGAACAGAACAGCTGTCACTTTTCAGGACTTGATTTATATGAAATCCGCTACAATTATTCTCGCTCATAAGAATTCTAGTCACGTGTGAGATCAGGCTGGCTGACTTCAGATTCATTAGGATAATCATGCTGAGTACTGAACTCACCATATCTGTTCCATTTGGCTTACACGCCAGTCTGGGCGGCACATGTGAGCAGTGGTGTTGTTGGGTTTGGAGAAGGGCACCAGCGTGCTGAAGATCGGATACGGTACCATGATGCCCACTGACAGAACCCAGGTAGCGGCAATGACTTTGTAAGCATGGGAGCGGGTCTGCCATGCCCGTGACTTCAGTGGGTTGCAGATGGCGCTGTACCTCTCGATTGCTATGGCAACCAGGCTGAAGGTGGAAATGCTGACGGAGATACCTGTGGAGAATTGTGGGAGGAAGTACAAGACATGTGATAAGTAGCCTACAGGAATGGTGCTGTAACTAAGCGACAAAATCTTCTAACAAGAATCTGTGCTATGCATGCCTTAAGGCAGTGTTGGGTAATTCTGCAGCTCTCAACTGCTTTAGTTCTCTGATAAATATTTCGCATGATTTGATGCTTCTGCCTTTCTGAGGAGACTGGATATAGTGTTTATGACCATTGTACGCCTGTTTTTTTCCCTCTCGAATTTTCTACAGTAGTTATTATTATTATAGTTACCACTTCGAGAGGCCATTGTTGTTAAGAAGGCTATTCATAGCTTTAATTGGCTTACAGAAATAAATATATGTTTCAGTCCAAGCCACTGGAATGCGCTCCACCAAACAACTTTTGCATATATGAATATGTATATGCAGGTTTGCTCAGCCAGTTGTTCCACAGGGTGTTCTTGTATGGAAGCAGCAAAAAGCATCAGTGCATACATTAAACATCGGCATGTTTGACCGAGCCTTGCATGTCGTTTTATATTTTGCCTCTAGGTCTCGATTGTGATAAAAAGTCTCACATCAAGGCCACTGTTCATTTTAATCATAGTTTATAAATAACCTTTAAACCATACCAAGAAAACCAGCCACATACAAAGATTTCATGTTACTATACGCTCACCGGCCACTTTAATAGGAACACCTGAACCCCTGCTTATTCATGCAACTATCCAGTAAGCACAATGCATAAAAGCATGGTTAAGAGCTTCAGTTAATATCCACATCAAACATCAAAATGTGGAAAAAACTATGATTTCAGTGACTTAGACTGAGGCATGGTTGCTGGTACCAGACAGGTTGGTTTGAGTATTTAAGAAACTGCTGATCTCCTGGGATTTTTTACAGAGAATAGTCTCTAAGGTTTACATTGAAAGGTGTGAAAAAAACAAAAAAAACATCCAACAAGCAGCAGGGCTGCAGGTTAATGAGAGAGGTCAGTGAAGAATTGCCAAACTGGTTCGAGCTGACAGGAGGTCTATGGTTACTCAAATAACCACTCTTTTTCACTGTGGGCAGCAGAAAAGCATCTCAGAAGGCAAAACATGTTGAAACCTGAGACAGATTGACTACAACAGCAGGCACAGGGTCACCTAAACTGAAGAGTTGATGACTGGAAAGAGAGCAGGGAATGTTTTTCCAATCTTCTGCTGTCCATTTCAATGAGTGGATGTGCTGGAGTAGAACTCCAAGAGGTCGTCTGCTGTTGTAGCCCATCCAAGTGTTGATGCTTTTCCATTCACCACGGTTGTAAAGAGTGGTTACTTGTGTTACCAGCCTGGCCAATCTCCTCTGATCTCTCTCATCAACAAGCCATTTCTGCTGCTCACTGGCTGTTTTTGTTTTTCACAGCATTCTGTGTAAACTCTAGACACTGTTGTGCTTGAAAATCCCAGATCAGTAGTTTCTGAGATACTCAAACCAGCCCATCTGGCAACAAACATGCCACAATCAAAACAGCTGAAATCACATTTTCCCCCATTCTAATGTCTGACATGAACGTTACCGTAGACCTGTATCTAGCTGACTGGATAAGTGCATGAATGCTCAGGTGTATGGGTGTTCCTATTAAAGTGGCCGGTGAGTTTATTTTATTATAACACCAATGTTAGCATTACGCGATTAATATGTTACCACAGATGGATCGCTTTGATAGTCATTTTTTTAAATGTATTTACCCACTGAGTTGCTCCTGAGCTAATGAGTCATGAAAAATGTCCTAGTTGGATCTTTAATAGATGCTCCTTCTGCTTTCTATAGAATCATCCAGAAGTCCTGGAGTTTGGGAGAATATATATTAGTGAGAACTGAGTGTTTCTTTTTTTTTTTTTTTCCAAAAACATTATGTGTTCCTTGTAAATTATCGTTTCAAAGCATTTCTTTTTTTACTAACTGATTTCGTTCCGGGCGACTTTTAAGTTTGTGCAGCGTGCAATCACTTCTGAGGTGTCGGGAAAAAAATGATGCCACAGTTGCCCTAAAGCTTAAGCGCTTCCTCCCTTGAGCTCAGATAACATATGAATGAAATGAAGCTTTTCATGAAGAAAGTCAATGAAGCTTGAAGAGTCTTAGAAAAAGTTCACTGTGCAAATCCCTTAATGGCTGGGGGTGACCACAGCTAAAATTGTCTCAAACGTCCTTTTGGATTTCCCATTCACAAAATATATATTCTCCACTAAAAAGGATGACGTTTTTTTTTTTAATTCAGAAAAAGGGCAGATTTCTAGTGTAGAGGCTCTCACACTGAAAGGAAAAAAAGTTGTGGTGATTTAAGCTTGGACAATAGCTGCCTTATGACTGTCTCATTTCTTCTCAGAAGAATTTACAATAGGCGTAAAGCACGGTTAGAGGCGACCACACTTAAACGGCAGAATGATGGCAGGATACACTTAAAGGACGGTAGCCCACATCTCCTAAAGGCAGTGCACCTTTATTTGGCATGACTTTGATGGTCTTTTATATGCTTAAGGGCAGACATTAACAGACATAGCCTTGAAGATTAGACACAAAAATCAATGGTTGAAAGGAGCTGTAATGGTTCATTGACTGCTTGTGGCTGATGAAATCCAGCCTGCCCAAAGGCTGGCTTAAATAAATGAGGAAAACAACATAAACCAAGAGTAAGCAAGAAACCACTAGCATAGCTGTAGGATGTGACAGAACGTCCTCTCCCGCGGACCGACAGCAGCACTCTTCCTCTGACTCAAGGCTGGACACATGGCACTGTGGGAGTGACCCAATGGGTGCAACCACCATGCCAAGCTCTGAGTAGAAATAACCCTCTTTTGTACCAATCTAGGGCTAATTTCTGCAATTGCAATCTTATAATCTGGACTTGTTAAATATAATTATAATCCGCAGCCTGTTAAAATCCCAAAACTAAATCTGTTCTTGATCTGTTCCACACTCTCTCAGGCTACGGGAGAAATTGAAACAATTTATAGTCACACAAGTATTACTGGTGTTCAATGGTCTGTGCCTTCACATTAACACACATGAATTGTATTTGGCCATGCTGTGTTTTAGTGACGCATCGAAATAGAGGCATAATGGCCTATGTGTTTTATGGGGCAATTGTTTCTGTTATAGTTAATAAAACATTCGAGACAGCTTCCACTAACTTCTCATTTATCAGTGTCATTTCTGCTTTCTCTCCTACATACTGGCGTATCTAGTTCAACTTAGCTCATAAAGACCATTA